ACTGGTGATTCTTCTTTGTTTCCAAATTTTGTGTTTTAATCACCAGTCATAATTAACACATTGTAATTGCATGTTCAGTCAATATCAGACTGCAGAAGTTGGTAAAGATCTTCAATGTCTTCATCTTTGGCTTTGGTGGTTGGTGCATAAATTTTAATAATAGTAGTATTGATTGGTCTTCCTTATAGGTGTATGGATATTATCCTGTCACCGACAGAGATGTACTTCAGGGCAGATCTTGAAACATCCTTTGTGATGATGAATGCCATGCCATTCTTCTTCAATTTATCATTCCCAGCACAGTAGATCATATGGATGGCTGATTCAAAATGGCCAAAACTAGTCCAGTGCAGCTCACTAATGCCTAGGATATAAATCTTTATGCATTCTGTTTCATTTTTGACAACTTCCGATTTTCCTAGATTCATACTTCATACACTTCATGTTCAGATTATTAACGGATGTTTGCAGCTGTTTCTTCTCATCTTGAGATGTTCCACGTCAGCAAATGGGGGTCCTCAAAGCTTTCCTCTACGCACATCATTAAGTTCACCTCTACTCTGATGAGGCACCTTTGCACAAGTCATATTTTGAGTCCTTCAGATCGGAGGGGCTCACCTTCTAGCACTATACTGCACATGGTTTCACTGCTATTCGTAAGGTTTTCACTGGCCAATTCTTTGAGAAGTGGATGGTTGCCTCCTTCTTCCAACTCTGTCTTAGTCTAGAGGCTCTCCTAAAACCTGTCCACCACTGGTAACCCTGCTCACATTTGAAACATCGGTGGCATAACCTCCAGGCTCACAGCAACACTCAAGCCAGCACAATAGGAAAAACTGACAGACAATTTTGTCCCCCCAACTGTTCTATACTGCTCTGCTCATTTCCTGGTCTCCCCCACTGCTCACTTACTCAGCCTTCCCCAGGGGTGATCACCCACCTTCCACTGGTCCTGGGGCTGGCTTACTGTGGCCTGCAGCCCGGGGGGTGGCTCTGGCTACACACAACACACAAACAGGCTCCCTCCGCTGATCCCGGGAGGGTGGCTTACTGTGGCCTGCAGCCTGTGGCCTGCGAGACAAATAGACCAATGGAATAGTATTGAGAACCCAGAGACAGATCCATCGACCTATGGTCAGCTGATCTGTGACAAAGGGCTGAAATACATTAAATGGAGAAGAGATTGTCTGTTTAACAAATGATCCTTGCAAACCTGGATAACCATTTGCAGAAAATGAAACAAGATCTGTACCTCACGTCATACATAAAAAATAACTCCAGATGTATCACAGACTTAATTGTGAAACTTAAAACTATAAAGTTCCTCAAGGAAAAACTAGGGGAGCTCTGGTAGCGTAGTGCCTATGGCACTTGACCGTTAGCCAGAAGGTTGGCTGTTCAATCCCACCAGCCACTCCTCAGAAGGAAGGTTGGGAAATCTACTTCCATAGTGATACCACCTTGGAAACCCAAGGAGGGGTCACTGTGAGTCAGGTCCAACTTGACAGCACATAACAACAACAATATATTGTAAAAATAGATTATCAAGCATAACCCAAAACCTACACACAGTAGAAGATCAACTAGATGAATGGGACCTTCTAAAAATTAAAGTGTTATGTGCTTCCAAAGACTTCTCTGAAAGAGTCAAAAGAGAACCTATAGATTGGGAAAAAAATATTTGACAATGACATATCTCACAAGGGACTTATCTCTAAAATTTATAGAAAACTCTAACATCTCAACAACAAAAAGACAAACAATCCAATTAAAAAATGGGCAGAAGACATGAATAGACACTTCACCAAAAGGGATATTCAGGCAGCCAGCAAACACATGAAGAAAGGTCACAATCATTAGCCGTTAAAAACAAACAAACCACTGCCGTAGATTCAGTTCCAACTCATAGTGACCCCTCCTTGGGTTTCCGAGGTGGTATCTCTAGGGAGACAGATTGGCCAGTCTTCCTTCCAAGGAATGGCTGGTGAGTTTGAACTGCCAGGCTTCTGGTTAGCAGTCACATGCCTTAGGCACTATGCCACCATTAGACATTAGAAAGAGGCAAATCAAAACAATGAGATACCATCTTGCCCCAGTACTAGCAGCAAAGTTCAACAAGACAGAAAATGAATGGTGGTAAGAATGCGGAGAGATTAGGACTCTCATACACTGCTGGTGGGACTGTAAAATGATACAACTATGGTGGAAAGCAGTATGGATAATCCTTTAGAAGTTGGAATCAGAAATACCATTTGACCCAGCAATATCATTACTAGGTATATATCCTAAAGAAGTGAGAGCCAGGACAAGAACAGATGTATGCACACCCATGTTCATCGCAGCACTATTTACAGTAGCAAAAAGATGGAAACAACCTAGGTGCCCATCAACAGAAGAATGGATAAGCAAACTATGGTACATACACACAAGGGAATACTATGCAACCCTAAAGAGTAACATAGACTCGGCAAAATACCACGTAACATGGATGAACTTGGAGGACATTACACTGAGTGAAATCAGTCAATCACAGAAGGACAAATATTGTATTAGTTCATTATTTTAACAAGTAAAGGTTTATATATGGAAGGATATTTTCTTTGTCAGTTATTACCAGAGTGGAAGGGGAGGGACGGGAACACTGCTAGAGAAGTAGAAACAAGTATTGATTTGGGTGAAGAGAAGGGCAATTTACCAAATGTGAGTGATCAACATGGTGGCACCGAAGAAGAGGAAGACACGGAGAGGTGCATGGGAGGTACAGACAACAAAGATGAGCCCTTTTGCACATACAGTTTGATGTTGTCAGTGATGGCAAACATTGATATATGGATGGACAGGCTGAATGATTAGGTATGTCTGTACAGGGGGGAATGTGCCCATGACCATGTTTGGGTAGGCAGACAATGTTTCTACAAGTGTATTTGTATATTGTGTAAGAATTTCTAGGTATATAGTAAAGCTGACAAGGGACAAGATTGTGGTCACTTCTTGGTCACACCCAGCTACCCAGAGGGAGCAAGGAGTTGGACCTGTGGGCTCACGACCATGGTCAGAGGGGACATCAAGCTCAAGTAGAATAATGTAGTATACAAAAACAATGTTTCACATCCTACTTCGGCAAGTAGCGACTGGCATCTTAAAAGCTCGCAAGTGACCATCTAGATGCAATGATGGGTCTCTCCTCATCATAGCAAAGAATGAAGGAAACCAAAGATGTATGGAAACAATTAGTCCAAGGGAGTGGGACACCATGCGATGCTCAGCCTATATGACTATGAGACCAAAAGAATTAGATGGAGATAAGCTATCACTGTCAACCACTCAGACGGGGAACTATGTACATGATCCTGGATAGAGTGGGAGAACAATGTGGAACAAAACTCAAAAAAAAAAGGAACCAGGTTTGCTGGTCTGATAGAGCCTGGTGGAACTACTAAGACTATGGTCCCTAGCTGCCCTTCTGGTCTGGAACTGAACCCATTTTGGAGGCTTCCATCCAAACCAAAGACAGGCATAAAAGCTGAACCTTTACATCAGGTAGATACACTCCTTGGAGAGATCAATCATGGGAGAATAGAAGGGCTGTGTATATACAGGGAGACAGCTGGTGGGTAGGAGTGCATGGGAGGGAAGGACACAGGAAAGAGGTGGCTATGAGGAAGAAGTGGGAGGAGAGCTATTAGTTACACTATGGGAGATTATAGTCAATGTTGTGAGACAAAGTGTATGTGAACTGCTGTATGGAAGATGAATTTGCTCTGTAAACTTTCATGCAAATCAAAATAAAATTAAAAAAACAAACAAACAAACAAAAAACTATTCAACTAGTACTTATTTCCTGATGCCCTAAACTATCCAAAAGTAGGTCTGGCCTAGAGAACAATGCTAAGCCCTGATTTTGGCAAGGATGAAAGGCAATAAATGGTAAGTTCCAAATCTGTTCTTAGAGCCAAGGCTACTTTGTTCTGTATTGTGGGCTATAGTATATATACGAGATTGTTAATTACTTGAGGGTGGGCATTTTGTCCATTTCTGCTCACTATTATATCCCCAAAGCTTCAAAGAGTGTCTGGGGTACATGGTAGGCAGTTAATTCTTGATTTTAATGAAAGAAGGAATTAATGCAATTTGCTATGTCCAATATGTTTTCACTGAGATTAAGTCCATAATGAACAGGTAAGAGTTATTTTATTTTAGTATGTTTAAATGTCTAGCCTATAACACTATTCTAATAGTACCTGATACTTCATGAATACATTTTTTTTACATGAATAAATTACCAGCAACTGAAAAGTCCTTTATATACATGGGATTTAATGTCCTGATTTTAGTTAACTCTCTTTTTTTCGTAGTTGAAAACTTTTCATACTCTTTTCATTTGTATCTGTATTCTGGGTTGTTTTCCTTCACCCAAGCAATTCTCTTATACTCTAACATTTTTTTTTCCCCTATTGAATGGAGTCCTCATCCCATCTAAATTGAAACTAATTCTATATCCATTTAATTTATCCAAACCTCTTAGGAAAGTTCGTAACATTCAGTGACAACAGATCTGAACTTAAGCTTTATAGTTACATTGTCAGACTTTGCACCAATGGTGTAATTCTGCTAGGAAGCTCTGTTTACAAATAGAATAACCAAAACTGAAAACTGTAGTATCTTCAGAACACAAAACCAAAATTGAGTTTATTAAATATTTCACAAACATTAAATATTTTGAACACATATACACATTCTTACACATCATCCATATACATTAGTTAGGAGAACAAAGTTCTATAAGGAGATATACAATAATTACCTTTTTTGGAGGATGGTATTCTATTTATGATTATTTTAGCAAAACAATGTGAACATAAGCTATTGACTTGGTAACAGAAAGAACTTCATTAAAGAGAAATGACTGTTAGAATAAAATCTGTTAACTAAAATCTACTTTCTTCAATTTACCTGTTAAGTAGTTATATCCCAATTCAAAGAATTAAATGGCTGAACATTTACCTTCGAGGATGGTTGGCATCAAATAATGTGTTATCATCATCCTCATCATCTTGTTCTAAAGGTGTCAATTCCATGTTTTCTATATTAGTGTCCAAAACTCCGTATCTTCTTGTCTTTCGGTTTCTTCTTCTCATCCTATTAAAACATAAAAAGAAATTAATATAGAATATATAATCTTATTTTATATTTATATGTAAATTAAAAATAAATTACTCAGTCTATTCCTACACCTTTGACATAAGAGGCACCCAATATCAAAGTTCCATTTCAGGACAATAATCCAATTATTGTTTAGGATTACTTGTAATTCAAGGAACAATACTCACTCCTACATGTTTGTATGCATATCATCTGTGTTTCTTCTGTCTGTACACTCTTTTCCCTCTGTCAGTCCAATAATGTTGATAGATACTCATTTAAGTATTAGTTCAGATACTACATCTATCTTTACTGCAGCTTTCTATCCTTACCTATTTCCTACCTCCTTCATACCTTCTTACCAAGATGTAGGGTTAAGTTCTCTCAATTTCAGTAAGAAATGCATTTAGATACATACTCCAATTCTAGACTAGTGGTTCACAACTCTGGCTGCACATCAGAATCATGTGGGGTAGTCTGAAAAGTCCCATGTTCAGGCTATACCCCTACACCAATAAAATTAGAATCTCCAGGAACCAAACCAACTCATAGAGACTCCCATTGGGTTTCCAAGGCTGTAAATCTTTACAGAAGTAGACTGCCTAGTCTTCATTCCATGGAGTGGTTGGTGGGTTTGAACCACCAACCTGCTAGTTAGCAGTCAAATACCTTAGGCATTGCACCACCAGAGCTCCTTGGAACAGAGAGTAGGCATCAATATTTTGTCAAAACTTTACAAGTGATTCTAATGTGCTAAACATCACACAGACCAGTGATTCTAGAAGTGTGATTCTCTCAATCAGCAAAATCAGCATCACCTAAGAATTTAATAGAAATACAAATCCTTGAGATCCACCCCAGACATAACAAATAAAAAGCTCTGATTGTGGTCCACAGCAATCTGTTTTTAATAAGCTCTCCTTGTGATGTTGATACATGTTAGAGTACAAGAACCACTGTGTTAAGAGGAATAAAATGTTTGTAAACTGCTGAACATTAATTGTTGCCAGCTGAATATATGAAAGGTTGTCATGATTTAGAGCCTTTACTCTCTCTCTCAAATAACTTACTATTTTCCTTCAAATAATTTACTTTTCATAAAATTTGAACTTATATGTACTTATGTATATGATTGTTTGTGTCTGCCATTAAGCTACATAAGGGAGCAGCCATACCTGTAAAGTTCACAATTGTATAACTACTAGAGCAGTGTCTGACCGATTAAGATACTCACTGAATGTTTGTTAAGGGCTTAAATTATATTGCATTTTAGCTCTATAATCTATAGACAGGACCCTGCAATTAATGTCTAAGTCAGCTCTAATACAACAGCCTCAACTCCACACAGAAGAATGTGGTGACAATGGAGCTTAAAAGCAGAATAGAAGGTATTTCAGCAAATAATCAGCAGGCATGGATTATCTTATAAGCAAGTTAAGCACAGGCTCACTTGTCCTTGGTACTAATCTGTACTGAACGGTTTCACGTGTGTTTTACAGATTTCTCAGATTAGTGAGCAAGGACATGTGAGGCCATGCATAACTTGCTGACTGGGTGCTTGGTCCCTGTCAGAGATTTGAAAAGCAGCTTTGATTCTGTAGGAAGGTGCTGTGTGTTAAGGAAAAAGACAGATGCCAGCCATACCTAGAAACAGAATCTCTGATGTGTTGAAAAAATGTGAAATTGTTCACTACAGATTAGTGAGTAAGCACAAATCTGTGCTAACCTTGCTTACCGGGTAATTCAATATCCGGAATCAGAAATAAAATTCAGTTCACTTAAATTCTGTGATAGGAAATACATGGATTACAGCACCAACTGTAAAAACCAAAACAAACCACTTCAACAGTCACATTCTGGAAGACAGACTGCCCTATACATATATGCATACATACATACACCACACACACAGACACATATATATTCAGTAAATATTTGTCTAACTATGCATCAGGCACTCTGCTAGTGTCTGGGTGTAAAAGTACTTCACCTCAGTAATCAAATTTACAAACTGTTATTAAGTCTGGATGAAAACCAAGAAAATTTTCACCAATCACTGGCTATATCTATCTATATAGCCAAAGGTGTTCGAACAGATAACAGATTTAATTATAGTATTTAAAGCAACAAACGTAACCGATAAAGGAGGTAATACTGCAATTTTAACCATCAAAAACGAGAAAGGTAGATTAGTAGAAGTATAAAGTATAAGCTAGAATATTTTTTTATGCTGAGAGCTTAACTAAATGTTTAAGTTGTTAAATTAAAAAGTACACACACACACACACTGTAAATAATCAGATAGAAATGTTTTAAATACATACACCCCATATCAGAGATCTAAACGTTTTCTGTAAAGAATCAGATAGAAATGTTTTAGATTCTTTGGGCCACATGTGGTCTCTCTCCCACACTCTTCTTCTTTTCTACTTCTTTCTTCTTTAACAGCCCTTTTGAAACAAACAAACAAACAAAAATACTCAGCTCATAGACTTTACAAAAACAGACCAATGGATGGGATATGGACTATAGGGCACAGTTTGTGAAGTCCTGATTTAGACTTATGAAAACAATCAACAGAAAAATTAAGGTAAGAAATGGATAAAAGCATTATTTCTTAAAAGTGGAAATGGAAAGAGATAAGGCAGTTAGTTCACTGTGTGTCCTTTAGAACCACATGATTTAATAATAGTTACATGTATTTGATTTGAAAAAGAGAATAAACAAAAGATAACCACTTGACCAAAAACGTTAAGGATATTGATTACAATGTTCCACTCTTCTCTTTTGCTAGTCTATTGACCAATTTTCTAAACCATATGACTTTCTAACCATTCTGGCATTTACCATCTACAAAAATAATATTAATAATAATAATAATAATAAATAATGCCATGTGAAGTCATTTATGGAAATAATCTAGATCCTCCCAGGTCATATATTACATATGAAAAAATCAATATGTTAATTTCCTGGTCACTGTCAGTAACAAGATATCTTAGAAAGTCTTAAAACAGGGAATGAAATTAACATAGAACTTAAGGACTTTTGAAGGATGTCTCAGCTGACATTCTTCTCCACTCCCAAGATCTTCATCATAATTTGAATGAATTCCCAATTTCTCAATGAGTGGCCAAAGCAATATGCCTAAAAATGTTATTTTCTTTGTGCATAAATGCAAACACTGCCATGGAGTAGGATCTGACTCATAGCGACCCTTCTTTGGGTTTCCGAGGCAGCATCACTATGGCAGTAGATGGCCCAACCTTCCTTTCGAGGAGTGGCTGGTGAGTTTGAACTACCAGCCTTCTAGTTAGCAGTCAAATGCCTTAGGCACTACACCACCAGAGCTCTGTGTGTATAGTGTGAGCTTTTTCACTGCATAGGTTTGGGTACTGTATTATGTGTTGTGACTCTTATTGTCCTTTTAATTTAATCATGTATGTAAGTACTACCTTCCAAACATAAATCCAAAGTCTTTGAAAACGAGAACTTATTTCATATAAAAGGCCTGGCAACAAGTGGATTGGTGATAAACTTCAATTTAAATTAATTTACTACTTTAGTAAAAATCACTAATTCATACAACAATGAATCAAATAAATAAAAAAACTGTGTATTGTCAAGACTAACCAGAAGGCTGGCGGTTCAAACCCACCAGCCACTCCTCGGAAGGAAGGTTGGGCAATCCTACTTCCGTAGTGATACTGCCTCGGAAACCCAAGGAGGGGTCGCTATGAGTCGGGGCCGACTCGATGGCACATAACAACAACAACAACAACATTGTCAAGAAGATGGTGCCTAGATGGTGCAAACAGTTAATGGACGCAACTGCTAACTTAAAGGCTGGCAGTCTGAACACACCTAGTGGTACTGTGAAAGAAAAGCCCTGGCAATCTGCTTCCATCAAGATCACAGCCAAGAAAACCCTATGGGGAAGTTGCACTCTGTAACACACGTGGGCACCATGAGTCAAAATGGACTAGATGACAACTAAAAATAGTAATTGATAAAGAGAAGAAACTTGAAATGCTACTTCTCCAAAAATGTCATTCCTCAGTCCAAAGTGATGATTACGACAGTTAAATGCCATAAAAACATCAAATAATTTAAAAATCCATATATTACCATATGTAGTGATTTCTTTCAGGGAAGGCTGAAAACACTTACAGATCTTTAAAATTACTGCTCTGATGCAATGTACCATCTACTTAAAATACTAACAATCATTAAGCATAAAATTCAATACACATAAAAATACAATGAAATTTTAAATAAAAAGCTACTTTTATCTTTTAATATGCCATATACGTTATTTTTAAATGAGCAAATTTCACGTATTTTTAATAATGATGGTGCTTTTCTTATAAATAACCCAAAACTGTCTATATGTGAGTTGATAATTACACACACACACATGCACACTTTTCTACTAGACATATACATACCAAACTCAAAAACCAAACTCACTGCTATCGAGCCCATTCTGACTCATAGCAATCTCCACTAGGTTTCCAAGGCTGTAGATCTTTACAGAAGCAGACTGCTCCATCTTTCTACCTTGAAAGAGCAGATGTGTTTGGAACACTGACCTTTTTGGTTAGCAGCCAAATGTTTTAACCACTACACCACCAGAGCTCCTAGACACATACATACTAACTACAAATTGTAATCAGAACACAAATTGTGTTGACTCCTAACAAACACAAAAATAAGACAAATAGGTAGCAAGCAAAGAATGGAATTTTGAGAGGGTAAAAGGAGAAATCTATACGGTTTACTATTTTTTGAATTAAATTTACTCATCATAAGGAGCTCTGGTAGCATAGTGCCTAAGGCACTTGACTGCTCACCAGAAGGCTGGCGGTTCAAACCCACCAGC